TGGTGCCGACCGAATCAACGCGGTCCCCGAATCCCTCCGCACTAATCATATCCCCGATTCATTTCGCCAGGAACTTAACACATTCATTCATCTTGAGCACCTTAAGAGTATGTTGGGAAATCACTCTGAAACTCTGAGCAACAACCAAACGAAACATTTCCCGCCATCGCAAACTTGTGTCACATGCTTCTCTTCGTGAGTCGAGCACTTTTGAAAGTCAAGGGCGACTCCGCTTTGTGACAACAGTAATCATGAATGTATCAAAAGCGCTTCGTCAGGCGAAATTACTGGTCAGTCGGCGACACGCATTTTTCACAAAAATTTGCGTTTCACCTGCTGGGAGAGTATGCGTGTACTCGAGTGTCATCCTGAGCACATTTTTTTCTTTCTTTTTTCAGCTCCAGTATAGCTGTATTTTTCATTGCCAAGCCGTCCTCGATTGTTGTGTTCGTTGTTCAAATGAAGTGGACATTCAATCATGAAGGCAGAAGACATAGGAGCCTGATTGGAGTTTCTCGTGGCATAGGACGGCCACACAGAGACACTTTGGGATTTTCTGAATATAAAATACCGTACGCACGATGCTGAGATCAATTTGTGCGATATCAAATTGTTTGTGATCTACCACATCGAGCAGAACGGGATCCAAACACAAGCTTACCGACGGTTAGGCTGCCGACCTGACTGGACAAATGATCCCTGGCTTCACCAGACGCCAGAAGTCGGACACCATGTCCTTTGCCGCGACGTCCATCTCCAAAAAGAACTCCATCTTCGTCGTGAAAAGGCTTGAAATACTCAATATTCAACCGAGATTCGCGGTCTTACCCTTTCTCAGATCGAATCATTTTTTGTTGTAGCAGTTGCAGGGCAGATCCCCGCCACTACTTAAACAGAAGATTGCTCCAAAGCATGCCTGGAACAAGCCATATCGAGGTTGCCAAGCCACCCCTCTCAGCACCTTTTTTGAAGGAATTCGAAATTTCAATGGTGGAAGATATACTATGAAGAGAATTTCAAAAAGTATGTTTCGCGGAGTGATCGCTCAACCTACATCATTCAAACTTTGCAGGATGGTTCAGACGTACATGCTAGGTATGGAACAACAGAACATGATATCATAGCTGACACACAGAGTCACACACACACACAGCAGATTCGTGTGCACAGATACTAAATTAGTGGACGTCGTCATCTTCTTCCCGCTTATCTCAAATGTACTATGACGTGCTATTTCGCCTGACGTTTGGAGGTATACGGGTGAATTCTTACCCGATCGGCTCTTTTGCATCGTTTGCACTGGATCTGATGATGTGAATATCATCCATACACACTGGGGTGGTGAAGTTGAAAAGCAAAACATACCGGTATAACCCGCTGCACGAAAGTTGAATTTGAGCCTTCAGCACACTCTCAAACCGCAGTTAAAAAGTGCTAGATCCATCAAACTTGGACTGAATTCTGCTACTGAGGACGACATGAAGTCATAATCCACCCATCATGTACATACCCCAACCAAGGTATCTGCCCCCCCCCCCCCCCTCACCAACCACAACGACAACAACATAATCATACACACGTACCCGTGCACATATTCACATACATACACGCACACCCCTTTTCTCCACAGAATGCCATTATTATAATTATTGCGAGCTTTAGGCCTCAGCTTTTTAGCGGTAAGACTTTCAATTGGAATTGTACGTACACATGGTCATGATATCGAATGAGCAATTCAAGGCATCGGACACCATCATAGTCCAATGGAGTGTCATTCTCTCCTTTTCGCTCTCGTATACATACGAAACACACACACACACACCCACTTGTTCAGGTACTGTTCACGTCACTACCAGTCGTCCACATCTTCGCCATCAACAGCACGGCCGGCAAGGACCCTCGCTTCTACCACTGTCCGCTGTACAAGAAGCCGAACCGTACCGACCTGACCTTCATCACAACGCTGCAGCTCAAGACGTCGCAGAGTCCCGACCACTGGACACTGCGCGGCGTTGCACTCCTCTGCGACGTCAAGTAATCACCACATGACTCAACACAAACTGAGCTGTGCTCACACATCTCGGCAATAAGCACACCCACGCGCAAGACTTACAAACATCTTACCACGTGTGCTTGTTTCTCCTCTTGGCGTTTATTCTGCCATTTTTCTTGCATGCATGCTCAATGGATACATGCACTTTATGCAATTCGACTACTACTTTGCCATTGAATAATGTGTTTCTAATTTAAAAATGTATTCATAGCATTCTGTAGAACGCATCATCATGGTAAATAAATTATCATGATGACGTCATCAAGATCTATTTTTAACACTAGGCTTTTTGCACGACCTCCCTATCACATCAATTGTTCAGACATTCTTTGATTAGTTATGCATGTATGAATTGCTATTGACCATCTACATGACTGTACATGTATGTGTGCATGGGTTCCAAGTTTTTGACAGCTAGTCCAAAGCTGATTGCGTCGATTGCCTTTAGATAGTGCTGTATACATTTTTTTAAATGTATTCTTATTTTCTACTCTTTTACTCAACTTTCCCCCAGAGCATTCAAAAAAGAACGCATCACCTCGCTCACATGTTATACCTAGCAATGCACGGTGGCTTTGCACTTTCCACCTTTCTGTATGTTGCACTCTACTGCGAAGTACCTTCTAAAATTATGTGCCACAATTATCATGATCATGTTGTCGTTAATGTGTTGTTACACTGACCGTCTATCGCTTACTTTTAAAAAGTTAGTTGCGACTTTGGCAATGATGAAGTTGGTTGTTCCAACGAGGAACACACGCGTCCTGCCGAACTTGACACTTGACTGACTCACGACTGCCACCTGGAGCACCCTCTACTGGGCGGCTTGCAAGAAATCACCGCCTCCCTGCTCAACACACAGTGTTTGTGTTTCGGGGAATTCGGTGACGTCCCAGCACTGGATGTTGTATCAAAGGTACGACCTCGTAGCACGTGCTAAACCTAAAAAAATTCAAATAGTTATAGACTTGCGTCTGTGGGAGTCTGAGAAAACGCCCACTCGTGCCGTTGTGACAGATTCCAGGGCCACGTTGAGGGGCCCTATCCCACCACCCATGGTTGCTTCTGCAGTTCTGGACTTGTTTTAGGTTTGGATCCCGCGCACGGACAGAATGGGCACAAAAATGTGAAAAAATAGCAAATGCATATTTTTGGCTCCTGGGTGGCTCGCATACCGTGGCACTATGCTGGAATTTTGAGTTTTTCCGGCCTGGAAAGCCTGTCAGTGAGGCGCAAGAACTTTTTGATCATGTCCAGAGGGCCAGCATAGTGGCAGGACTGTGTGGTGAAAATTTCACTCAAATCCATTGAGAGACACCAAAGTTACGGTCAATTGAATGCCATAAATATTATGAAATTTATGGGTAGGCTGCTACCTTTTATTAAAAGAGACACAACACGACATTTACAAAATACTTCACACTCTGACAATAGAGAATAGTACTGCAAAGCAACATACCCCAGTACTCAATTTTCAGTGCTTCAGAGTATTCACATTATATTCAAGTGGACGCAGGTGATGACTTACTGCTGGCGACGTTGGCAGCTGACAGGTATCTAACGGCTTTCGTAAAAAGCCCAAGTCACTAAAGCGGGATTCACAGAAGCTTTTTTGCGATGCGACACGCGATGCGACGCGATCTGCGATGGATGCGTGCGATGCGAACTCGCGAAATACCATTCACAGAAGAAGTCAGCGATGCGACAAAGTTTTGCTGATTTGGGTACGTCACCATGATATTCGCGCGGTTTGACACAACTTACTTGTAAAAATTTATAGGCAACTCTTGCACCTTTGTACAACTTTGCTTTAGAAAAGGTCAAAATCGTACACCAAATCGCTTGTCGCATCGCATCGCATCGCAAAAGTTGAGCCAAGCTCAACTTCTGCGATGGCCCAGTTGCGGCAGTTGCGTGGGCCGCGACATGGTTGCGATTTGGGGTTTTCCCGGTTTCGCGCCTGTCGCATCGCGTGTCGCATCACAAAAAAGCTTCTGTGAATCCCGCTTAAAGGGGAAGTTAAGGCAAAAATTAAAATTTCACCAGTTGTAGTCTTCGGGGTGCTGAGTCGAATGGTCTTGGTCCGAGTAAGCTGAGACGCTCCCTTCCGACTTGAATCCCAATCGAACTCGCGCACTTCCACCGAAACTGGGTGACTGCGCCCTACTAGATGGGGATTTGTATGCAAAATGTCACTAAAAGCGCCATTTCGTTCTTATAAAAGCACGGATGACCGCGATTGGCCCATATGTTGTAGTCTTTTAGACGCTGAGTCGACTGGTTTTGGTCCGAAAAGGCTGCGATGTAGCGTTCCTCCTTTATTCCCAATCGAACATGGTTGAACAAGTGGTCACGTGCTCCTGCGTACACCAGTCAGCTGGTCACCGTGCCTGCAGGGTACAACTTACTAGCCTGTTTGACCTTTTTTGGGTGCAGTCCTGTCACTCGAGTTGAACCTTAGTGTGAAAGTTGTCGCCTGCTGGCGTGGTGACCAGGTGATTTGGGCACCCAGGAGCACGTGACCACTTGTTCAACCATGTTCGATTGGGAATAAAGGAGGAACGCTGCATCGCAGCCTTTTCGGACCAAAACCAGTCGACTCAGCGTCCAAAAGACTACAACATATGGGCCAATCGCGGTCATCCGTGCTTTTATAAGAACGAAATGGCGCTTTTAGTGACATTTTGCATACAAATCCCCATCTCGTAGGGCGCAGTCACCCAGTTTCGGTGGAAGTGCGCGAGTTCGATTGGGATTCAAGTAGGAAGGGAGCGTCTCAGCTTACTCGGACCAAGACCATTCGACTCAGCACCCCGAAGACTACAACTGGTGAAATTTTAATTTTTGCCTTAACTTCCCCTTTAAGCAGTAGCTCACCGACGATTTACCACTCACTCCAGACTGCAATGTTTTCAGCGTCAGCAATAAATTTTGTAAGTGACTTACCAGAGTCTGTGCACCCACTTCAGTCTCTCTCTCCAAAACGCGCTTACGGTAGGTTTCGGTCCCTGTTGTTACACAGCCATCAAGAAGCTTGGCTCTGGTCTCCTTGTCATTTTTTCGTCAAGAAACAATATTGGGATCTCGAGAAATCGAGCTACGAAGTCAACTTCTTGCTCACACCAGCAATGGTTTCGAAAACATGCCCTGCTATACCCACTGACAAAACGGAAGAGAGAACAACAGGAACGTCGATGGGGCCCAGGGAAGACTACAGGTGAAGAATGAAAGAAATATTCTCTGTTATCATGACCATGATGACTGTCGATGGCGGAGTTAAAATTACGCTCCGTTTCCAGCGCGACAAACACCTCGTGAGGCCCAAGGTAGCAACGCGAGTCAGGGTCGCGCGCTCATGGAGTTGTGCTAAGCAGACGTTGACGAGACAGTAGCTATGTAATAATTATTAAAAGTCTTTTGTAATTATGTCGTTCTGTTTTGTACCCGCTGTATTGTACTACACAATGGCATACTTGTAACATTGTTTCCCTCTTGCATTGGCTGACACCCTCGGCTTGTGTATGCAATGATTGGTCTCAGGTTCCATGGGGAGGTTCACCTGGGCTGCAAGGGAGGGTTGGTCCTGGTTGCATGCAAGGGGCTTGCCCTGGGCTAGCTATGCATAGATCAGGGCCAGGTAAATCCTGTAGGTCATCTCTTCAACATCAAGCGCTAGCGCTAGAGCTGAAGCATCAGCATCATCATCCAGGGTAATTATATCCTGGTTTGTATACTTACTCTTAGTGCATCCCTGCAACTTTCCTTTGCATGTCTGATTCCAAACAGATACGGGGAACTCTTCATTCAGATGGAGAGCCAAGGTTTAATTTATACAAAAGAGAAAGACCAAGGAACTACAAGTTACGCTATACTTGTCCAATGGTCTTGCCAGTATAGTCATCGACATGCATGAACATCCGCCAACGTCCTTCACAGCTGAGATTTTCAGCTCGTGCTTATATTGGTTGCGCTCACCTTCCCCTCCTTATGTTATTTCTATAACTTAGAACCTTCCAAGTTGGAAGGCTGTTGGAGTGCGCATCCAAGATGTGCTAGAGCTGTTAGCCAGTTAGTTGTAGAACGTCAGTACCGTCGGTCAGTGTCGTGCAATGTTATCGCATGAGCTGATTGTTTAGTAACTGGTGGTGTTAGTGGACAGTATAGCGTAACTTGTAGTTCCTTGGTCTTTCTCTTTTGTATTAATGGAACTCTTCATCGTCTGATTTTTGTTTCGTATCTTAATGGAACGAAACAAGCCTTTGTCAGGAGTAACACTACTGGCAGCAGGTTTCGTGGAGTGAGACGATGATGCATGAGTTCCTCGTATCTTTAAAGAACGAAACAAGCCTTTGTCAGGAGTAACACTACTTGCCGCAGGTTTCTTGGAGTGTGGCTGGTGAACTGTTCGTGCTGTCGTCTGCAAGCGTCGTGTGGTCTAGTCGGGTCAAATGAAAAACCTACTGAAGTATTATTAGTAGCAAGAGTACAATCATAAACGTTATTTATGTACTCTTGCTACTTCATGTACTACAGTCGTGTAGTATCACATTCTAGTCGGCCATGCATTAGTCAGGAATAGGGACCGGCGGATTCTGCTCGAAAAGTTGACAGATTATACTTCAGAATGCTCTGTCTCCACTATCAGTGCCAGTATCATCATCGACATACATGAACATCCGCAAACGTCCTTCACAGCTGAGACTTTCAGCTCGTGCGTATCTTGGTTGTGCTCACCTTCCTCTCCATGTGTTATTTCTATAACTTAGAACCTTCCAAGTTGGAAGGCTGTTCGATTGCGCATCCAATATTTGCTGGAGCTGTTAGCCAGTTAGTTGTAGAACGTCAGTACCGTCGGTCAGTTCCTTGCAATGTTATCGCATGAGCTGATCTTTTAGTAATTGGTGGTGTTAGTGGACACTATAGCGTAAATTGTTGTTCCTTGGTCTTTCTATTTTAGAGATAAAATAAATTAATCCTTGGCTCTCCAACCGAGTCCATTCTTGCACACCTGATGAGCCGTCCTTATCTATACGTCGATACAATCATCATGTGAAACTGCCGCTTGTTACCGCTGCTTATTGTCCATCTAAATTGTCATAGTCGAAGTACAGTGTTGTTTTTCTGAGGCGTTCGGTTTTGCATGATTCTTGTTCGCATAGCTTTCCCTTTTATTGATCATCGCATCTTTTCAGCCACGCAAGTTGTGTGGAATGTTGCTTTGCGTCTTTGGATCTTGGTTTGACCGTATTGTCCAATGGTCTTGCCAGTATCATCATCGACATACATGAACATCCGCAAACGTTCTTCACTGCTGAGACTTTCAGCTCTTGCGTATCTTGGTTGAGCTCACCGTCCCCCCTTATGTCATTTCTAACTTAATTCCTGTTGGAGTGCGCATCCGATATGTGCAAGAGCTGTTAGCCAGTTAGTTGCAAAACGTCAGTACCGTCGGTCAGTGTCGTGCAATGGTTTGCATGAGCTGATTGTTTTGTAACTGGTGGTGTTATTGGCTATTATAGCGTAACTTGCAGCTCCTTGATCCTTTTATTTTTTTTCTTATTTAATCCTTGGCTCTCCATCCGAGTTCATTCTTGTGCACGGGATGAGTCGTCCTTATCTCTACAGCGAAACGATCGTCGCGTGTGAAATTGCTGCTTTTCCCGATACTTATTGTCCATCTAA